CCGCCCCCCCCCCCCCCATCTCCGCCCCCCTCCCCGCCCAGCCCCTCGACGTCCTCGGTCCCGACAGCGACGCAGAGACCGAGTGAGCAGGCAGCCACCACCATGCTCAGTTCGTCACATGCTGAGCAATCTTCTACTCTCTACCGAAGTTAGGAACTAAAAAGCCCTGGCCGCCCTCCCCTCCCCTCCCTGACTGTTCACTGTGAAGCAGCTCTGTCTAATAAACCCCGTCATAAACCTCAGAGAGACAGCGTCAGGCTCTGCCTTTTGTACGTAGAGCTTCGACACATCAGTATCGCTACATAATCATTAGTCACCATTTATTTTTAACACGCGGGTGGGAAGCGCTTCTCAGTGAGATGAGTGGGGTGGTGGCAGCTGTGGAGGGCTATGGAGGGGTCCGAGGGAGGGCTACGGTGGCGCTGGCAGGGATCGGCACGGCAGGCGGTGCTGGGGTGTCCTGGTTTGCGGTCAGGAGAGGCCAGGACATCCCGACAGCGGACGCACGGCCGTGGCCTGGCGGATGCTGAGACAGGGCCCAGCGTGTGCTGCACCGTGGGTCGGACTCTGGGGCTGGTACCCAAGCTGCTTCTGCCTTCTGAGGGTGCAGTATTCCCACCCCTAAACAACTACAACGGAAAGAGAGTGAAAGAAAACCATCCCTTTGCTTCTGGAGCCCCGGATGCTCTGTGTTTGCTGCTCAGTTTGTTAATGCTCACACCGCAGGTGGGCACGGCTTTTAACGTGTCGGAGAGAACTACTCCAGCCTCCGCAAAGATTCAGGCGCGGGGAGGAAGCGCCAGGACGTTTAACAGTACCACTCCTGAAAATAAATAAATTTAAAAGTTGCCTTTAAGTTCCCTGTTGGCAGTGGGTGCAGTTCAGCGCTGGCAAGAAGCTGATGGCAGCGGCTTGCAAGGGGGAGGTGCCGCGCTCGCCCCCGACGTGGGGGCAGCCAGGGGGGTTTGGTGGTCCCCGCAGGGCTGAGCTGAGCGATGCAGAGAGCTCACCCGGCCCCCGGCTTTCCCAGGAGCCCATCACAACCCACCAGCACCTGCCTTTCTGAAGTACTTTTGCAAAACTTCAAGAGGAAACACGATCGTGTGGTTAAATCATGCGACCGGGAACACGGTGTTCTGGGCACGGCGCCCAGCCTGGTGCGAGCACAGGGCAGCGGGGGCAGCCGGGGGGGTGAGGGGGGTCCACGGTCCTTCTTCGCTTGAAGCTCCCCAAGTGCATGGCGCTCTGGGTGCCAAGGATCTCTCCATCTCCCTAAGCGGCAGTGGAAGCGGTGGGTCTAGTCACTGAGAACCACCATGAACAGGGCCGAGGAACCGGGGAATGATGGGCCAGATGAGATCCCACCGGCACGGCTGACACTGCCCCCCGCAGGGGAACTTCTGTGTTTAAAATTCATGGAAAAAGTCAAACCCTTAATTACCAGTGTATAGCTGCTCTAACACTGCTGCAGTAGTTACGAGATAATAATGCTAGAATATCTGCAGACTTAATTTTATGACTCGATTCATGAATTTTTAAAATTTTACGATTAGCTCCAAAAGTAATAGCAATTTAAACTAAAGTTTTCATTTTCTATTACTTCTGATATCTGAATTTTTACAGACATTTTCCAATTTAACTTGGTTATCATAAGAACAAGCAGCTTAACCACGTTTTTAAAATCAAATTCACATTCTTAAATAATGAAACAGCTCTGGAAATACCATTCTCAGCCCGTTTGGGTTCTCTGCTGTTGAGAAAGAGGGGTGAGGATCAGGAGAGGCCGGTGCGTGCCCGTGGTGTGCTCCTCCACATCCTCCTGGGTTTCAGCTCAGGAACTGGAGTCCCACCGCATCTTGCTCAACACGTGCAGGATGCCACACATTAGAGCAGGTTTAGAAACCACACAAAAGTTTCACCGTCGCTTCTTGAGTGGCGCTTCAGCAACCCACCGGGCCGAGGCTTTTGATTCCGACAGTGCCCAGAAAACGATGCACAGGGAAAAACCTGCAGCCAGGGCATGTGCAGAACAGTCCTTCCTCTGGTTCACCCTCCTGGCAGCCCACAGTTCATGGACCTCCTGAGCTGGAGGCTGCGTTTGAGTTGCCACTGCTTGAAAATCAGGAGATAAGGAGGTTATTTAGAAGCTGATGCTATGCCCCTTGGCAGAGCAGTTTCATTTGCAGAACTTCCTACTCATTCTACCAACTAGGGCTTTACAGGCTTTCCAGCACTGGGAACAATTCCTCCAGAAGTTTTGCCTCAGAGACAACATATGACTATTTTTTATACATTAAGCAAACAACAGACTTGCTACACTAGCCTAGGACGAGAGAGAGATGACACTTTCATCCTTCAGCAACAGATTTCTTGTGAAATGGAACAGTTAAGCAAGGACTCAACATACTGAACTTCCCCCCTCACCACCGGCCTTCCTGGGCTGGTGAGCAGCCATACTCACCTCTGATCTTCATTGGGATGAGGAGTAGAAAAATAGGGGTAATTTATAGTCATCTGTAGTGAGAGAATACCTAAATCAAAAGATATAAAGAATAAAAATCCAGATTCAGGGAGCACCTTCTGAACAAGTCCACATGCTGCCCCCAGCCCCTTATCTGTCAGCCGGTTCTTGTTTGCAAGAGCGAACAACCAACAGCCCACGGACATGCTGCTCTGTAAGGAAACCGTCTCACCCTGGGTACGGCATGAGCTTAGCAAGCACGTAAAACCAACCAGAGCAGTGACAGGGCAGACGAAAGGCAGTTAGGATGCTTGTAAAGACAGAGGAATCCAGCTCTTACAAGTTGTCCTAGACTATTCCTGCCCAACTCCTCACTTCCCTTCTCCCTAAAGGGACGCTTCCCTCCCTGAGCACCATGAACCCACAGCACAGCCTCCTTTACCAAAAAGGAGAGTTCTTGTAAAGTGACAGCACTTCAGCCCACATGGCAGCACTTGGAAACAAGCACCTGACACCCTCCCCTCCCAATTCAGTGTTCAATGTACGCGGGCAAGCTAATACTTATCTTGACAAAGACCTCCAAAGGATTTCACAACAGTGAAAAAACTCTGCTCCCTGCAAAAGGCACAATAGAACAATTGCTTAAAACAGTAGGAAAGCTGAGAACAAAAACCTGGGCATCTATTCCCACGCTCTCACCACCAAACACCGCTGTCAACACCACTACCAATAAGTTGTGTGGGAATCCAAATAGCTGCTCAAACATAAAGATACTGCAGAGACATTAGATGCTTTTCTGTACGGCAAATCAGTCACCCTGAGCCTGTTCCTTGTGCTGCTGGAACAGCGGTATCCGTGCGGAGCTCACTGCAATGAGACAGGCTGCAGAGAGAGGGGGAAGGCAGAGCTGTTTGCCCAGACCAGCCTTCTCCAAGGCACTTGGAAACACAGCACCTCGGCTGCCGACATCCTGGGGTGGGCTCCGGCATCAGCTGCCATAGAGCTGTAAGGAACAGAAACAGCAGCAGCAGGGCTCAGGTATTCTGCACCTTCCAGCTTCTCGCACTTTCAGCTCCAGCTGGGTGCCTGCCCCGGGCCCTTTGCCCTCTGAAATGCAATAGCAGGAGGCAAAGAACAGCATCAAAAATCTTCACCTTCTAGTGACAAGGCAGGAGAAGGATGGGAGAGGCACAAACAGCGAGATTCACCCGTCTCACACCGAGGGTAAAGTGGAACAGCATGTTCTTTGCCAGGACACGGACAGTTTACTATTCCAGTTACTCCTGGTTTATAGAGGGCGTCTGACAACTAATAAAAGTGGAAAGTGTCTCAGGTACTTGACTTCAGCTCTTTACCAGTTTGTCTCTCTCCCCCAAATGGACAGATTGCAGATAACTGTATGTGCGCAAAGGGGGCTTTTTTTCTTGCTGCAGCAGCAATGCAGCAGCTAGAAGACACAGATGAGCCCTGCCTGGGCCCAGGCACAGAGCTGGGCACAGAGCTCTCCAGGGGAAAGGCTTCACAAATCGCAGCCAAGCTAGACACCTGAGAAGTCCCAACTCAACATAGTACCAAATTTCCCATTCTTTCGAGGGTTTTTAATAGACTTTTCGTACTCTGAAACAAAACAGTAAACATCTAACCAAAAACCCTGTGAAGAAAAAAAAAAAAATAAACCATTCCAGAAAACATTTTACTTCCCAGCTCTGAAATTTTTTTAGGTGCCAAAATCTGCAAAACCCAAAACCTGTTGATAAAGCACTTCTGCTCTCCTCACCTCCCCGAACTACAGTTTTGGCAGTAAACCATCACCAAAGTCTAGCTAAGAACAGCAAAGGAATCCAATTTCACTCAAAAAATGGACGGCTGGTAAAATATAAGCCTGTATTAGCACATTACATAGAATCATAGAATGGTTTAGGTTGGAAAGGACCTTGAAGATCTTCGAGTTCCAACCTCCCTGCCATGGGCAGGAACACCTCCCACTAGACCAGGATGCCCAAGGCCACATCCAACCTGGCCTTGAACACCTCCAGGGATGGAGTGTGCTATAAAACACAGAAAATATGTTGGTGTGACAAAACAAGACATGGAACTGCCTAGAAGAGGCAGCTTTGGCAGCTGTGACAGCTAAGCACACAGTCACCCAGGGGAGAATACATCAGTGTCCCAAAAGGAGGATGACAAATGCAGCAGCACTGGGAAAAGAACTGACAGCTGTCCAAAAGACAGAGGCTGCCTGGGGAAAAAAAAAAAAACAAACCAGCCAAAAAGCAAAGAGAGCAGAAAGATTTGTGGATGGGGCTGAACACTGATTAGAGCAGCCTGAACCAAGTTAAGGAAAGAAGAGGCAAAGACGTGGACACTGGGAAAAGAATTATTCCTCATAAGGCATCTGGTGGTGAAGAGGAGAAAACTACAGAAGTAGATACAGGTAAAGGGAAAAAAGATGTTTTTTCCCCTCCAAAGAGTTTTGGCATTCCAGTTTTGGCCCCTCTTCATATTTCATCCGGTTTTCTTCTAAGAAAAAAGCTGTGGGGTGTTGGAAGCATACTTAGGCTGGACAAGTTGTTTTACAAAGATCTATATACCAAGCTTTAATAAATTTTACAAGAAAACAAGTTGCATTAAATTTCTTATAAACTTCACAGCTTTCAGTAGAATACATCAATCGCACAAAGAACAACCTACAAAACTGGTTTTATTCTCAGGGTTGAGCTTGATCATGCCTCATCTACTAACTGATGCGACCGTCTTCTTGACTTTGTGATTAATGACAGACTTGAGCAATAACGATTGCCTCCAGGTAGAAGAGCTTCCAATCAGTTGATCTTTGTTGCACCTACCCCATAATTTTAGATTCAGAATTGATTAAGTTTTCTGAAAAAGACAGTCATCTCACCGCCATGAAGCATGAACTCTCCAGCAACCAGCAGAACTTTTCTAGTCAGAAGCCAGTACTGCTCAGCCTACTCAAGGTCATCCAGATAAATTTTAGGTAAATTTGGCTGTAGGACATCTTTCCTCATTTCTAAAGATGAAAAAATGGAACAAGCTTTTCCTAGACAAAGACATTTATTAAAAATTATTCAGAAATAAATTCCCCTAATTCCCAGAGATGTTTTCACTGTCCTCGCAAAGTTTATAGGGAAATAAAAACACCCCAAACAGTTCAGCCCTTGAAGAGTGTCCTGCAGCAGGGAGGATGTCGCAGCTAACACTCCAGGCCTCTCATTGCTGCAATGCTGCTGGCCATTCTGCGTGGCACACTTTTTGCGGCTTGCCGGTAGTCCTCTGGTTTTGCTTTCAACAGAGTTACAATATTCTGCAGTGTTTTTGATGGCTGAAGGCCGAGAGCATCCATCACGTTTATTAGATAATCTGTAAGATTAAAGATAAACATGTATTTGAACAGGCAACAGACACTGCACAAATGGAAGTTATTCTGCGTTCTTCATGACAGCCAGAATCCTGCCACTGCTGGCTTAAAAACACACACAACGGCAGTGTGTTTGGAATCTAACTGTACAGACTGATGTGTATTTTTGGCTTCCTGCGCGCTAATTTAGACAACCTTCTGTTTTGTTCAGAGGACTGAGACACATTCTGCCATGTTTCAGTATCTGCACACAACACCCTTGGGGCGGTCATTCACCACGGTCACAGATAAAGGATCGCAATCACACTTGCAGAAGGCTTGCAATAAAGCTGGGAAGTTCTGCAGAGGTGAAAGGCTGTCGAAGCAGGAGGAAGTTCCAGCTCACTGATTCAAAGTCAGTTGGGGAATTAAGGATGGCAGGGAGTATGCTGAGCAACCAGCCCCTAATACACTCCTTTGTTTTTAAGTAATGCCAAAAAAAAAAAAAAGAGATTCAGGCTGAGTTCACTGACATTGAAGCACACTTTCAGGTAAGCTGAGGAGGAGACATTGTCTGCATCCTTATTTTTGAGTTCGAGCCTTGGGAAGACAGCATCCATGACTTACAGCAGGGAAAGGACTAACTGGCATTTACAATAGCGGTAATGGTCTCGAGGTGACACTTTCATCAGCTTTGGATAAGAAAAACCCATCTCTTTCATATCATAGAATCCTTTAGGTTGGAAAAGACCTTTAAGATCATTGAGTCCTGCAGAAACACCTTCCCCAGCACCTTCCGTCAGTCCTCTCTCAGTCACTCTGCGTTGTGTGGGAGAACGCAGAGATGACCAGCATGTGTTAGCTATGTCCCACTTTGCTGCTGAAAGCTTCTCCATGTTGAAAGGAACTTTAGTCACCCAGCACCCTCAGAGCAGCAGGGCAACGAGCTAGCCAGGGCAGGGGAGCTGATCCTATGGGTTATGTAAAAAAGGATGCTGGTCAAGTGCTCCACAACAACTTTTAGAAGGCCTTTCACTGATCTCCCCTACACTCGGGCTACCAAGTTAATGGAAGAAATCAACCAGCTGCCCCCTTCATAATCCACTGGAGCACTTCCCAACAGGACTGGCACATGCTGTGTACCCCCTACACGGCATATAATGGCAGTACATGGCACTCGATGAGAAGGGAAAAAGCAGTGCCACACTTGAAAAGATTATATACAGAACTTTTGTGCTAAGACCAGCTTGTAAGGGAATCCTCTCAGTTCAGAAGGACTTTGACTAAGAGTCAGAAGCACAAAGCAGTGAAGAAGTAGGAGTACCAATCAGAACATCACCCTTCCCTTGGAGAGGGATGTGACAGAACACTGCAAAAGAGAAGCTGTGAACTGCTCCACAATGCTGGGTATCAGATCAACACGCTCATGATTAAAGGAGAAACACAGACTGTAATTTCTTCAAATCTAATGTAACGACAGAGGAGCCCATGTGTTAGGGCAACAGCTCTCAGGATAACGCGTGCACTGAGCTTACCAATGTCTGTGGCAAGCTGCTTCGTCGAATGTACTGTGAGCTCTGGTATTTGCAGGATGACTTCGCAGTAAGTTTGCATCGTAGCTCTGGCGATGGAGCCCAGCCAGTAGTCAGCCATGTTGTCCAGCTCAGGTAATTCATCTCCTGGACAGAAAGTTCTCGTTAGCTGTCAGCGACCTCATTCACCTGCACTTGCTGGTTTTGTAACAAAACATAATTCATAAACGGTTAACTGTTTCTTCAACGAGACATAAGGTATTCATTAGGATTGAGTTTATCAGCTGGTTTTGGAGTAATCAAAGCAGTTACATATCCTCCCTGATACTATACAACACTGAAAGTTAGCACAAGACCCAAAACAATTTCCTTGCTCCTCTATTACTTCTCCAGGTTAAGTCATTTCCAAAGGGCTGACAGGTGATCAGGCTGGGATCAGGGGCACTGCCGGGCATGTTCTACAGGATCATCTTCCAGGAGTAGTTTACAAACTACTGCAATGACAAGGATTCACAGGTGGTTTTTTCAAGCCCTAAAGGCATTCTGTATTCATAAGTGTTTTGAAAATTAACAAGCTGTTAAACATGTAAATGTTTTAAGACGAGAAAATAATGCTAAAACCTAAAATAAAGAGCATATTCTCAGAAGGCTACAGGAAGACTATAAATACCTAGCTCTACGCTTCCTTGATTGTCAGTGGAAATAAACACCGAGAAGAGATTAACCACAGCAAACCATGGCGCACTGCCAGCCTGCTGGGAAGCATTATGTAGCTACTGTTGTTAACTGCAGCAGGATTAATGACACAACAGGTAAGGACAGCCACCCGAAGAACGAACGTGAGCCAAAACTCAGCTCGCTGCAAGAAATTAAGGAACAACATGCAGAAAGAACTCTGTGCATTCTGGGGAGAAAGTTCTGAAGAGGCATCTGGGCCACAGCTGTCTCAGCAGCCACCATCAGCACTCACTGCATTTCCTTCAGCACAGAGGGGTTTAATCATTGTGGCTGCTATCTAATCACTAAAGACTTAGGTGGCACTGGTAGTAGCAGTGGAGCCCTAATGATTTTTTGAGCTGGAGTTAATATAGGATGAAAAAAGAACCTAAATGAAGTGGTCAGCATTCCAGAGTTGTGTCCTTACTGAGCAAGAACCTGACTATGGAGATTAGAAACATGGTCGAACCCTTAAAAAATTCCCAAAGATGCAAAACCTGTCCAAAGCCAGACAGACAGCAGACTAGTTTCTGACCATAGGCTCCTAACCTTTGTCACAGATGGGCACAGGTTAGCACATCACACAGGGTGTATCAGTAGTTTTTCCTGGATTTACAGAAAAAAAGAGGCAGAGGCAAAAGTTGTTTACAAGTAAACATCATTACTATTCTGCTTGAGAATGAATGTCTATTCCTGATAAAAGGAGCTAAAGAGCTCCTCTTTTTCTAGCAACAAATTAAGGGGCTGTGATTCTCAACAAGGTCATTAAGGATGGCATATTTTATACTACAGCTGATTAGTGCAAAGTTACGCTTACAAGATGTTCTCTCCAGATTTCACTAGGGTCTGAAGCTGAAAAGCTCCATACTAGATTAGCTCCTGGCAGCAGTTGTTGCAAGAATCCCAGCTTAGATACTGTCTGGGGATAAGAATACACTGTATGATCACTGCTGCAGGGTTGTTTTCTTCAGTAGACGAGGACATTACACAAGAGGGTCAGCCAGCCTAACAACTCACCACTTCTAAATGTGGTCACAAGCTTCCTCTGCCTATTCCTTGCTGTGCACTCCCGCCAGCTCTATTGCATAGTAGACCTCTTAGGAAGTTGATTTTAATCACTTTATTGATATATTTTTGAGAGAAACTAGCCCAAAAAAAGAAAAAGTGACTACTTTTCCATGGGGTTAATGAATGGAAATGGCCCTACTATGGAACATAGGAACCTCTCCTACAAAGGAGAGGGCAGGAGTGCAAAGCTGGAACAAGACTCCCCCTTCAGCAAGCTGTTAGACAGTCCAAGCTGCTCCGTGGGCTGTACTCCAATGGACAGGCTGATAAGGAGCAGAAGCCACAAAAGCTAACTTGATAAGTCTTTCAGCCTAGATGGTTCGACGGTTCCCTTCAGAGTTTGGGAACTGACCCCAGGTACTTCTTGTTCACTCCCTGCACCTTGGATATTAAATACTACCCCAACTCTGAAACAGTAATACTTCAGAATCTGCACCCCAAACCACAGTTTTAACGAACGCTAAACTTAAATAGACTAAGCTGAAGCTCCCAGTTTGAATGAAAATGAAAAAGTTTTACTCATTATTTAGAGGCTCCTCTTGGGTATTACCAAGAGTCTCCTGGAAGAAGCAGCGTGACTAGATGATAGGAAATGGACCTCAAACAGCTTTGTTACCGTAACACATCACACTTATGTATCAAAATGTGAAGTCTTTCCCCCAGACACCTCAAGTCTTTAGTTTCACCCTACCTTGTTCTGGGGGGTAAGGCAGTTTTCCAGCATGTAATGCCAGTTCCAAAGCAGAATCCTCTTGAGTGACAAATGGCTCAAGGTGAAGAGGAAGCGACATAATATATTGCCCAATCTAGAATAAAAGCACAAAGAGCTGAGTCACTGAACAAACGTGAAGCGAGTACTTTGCTAAAGAGTCAACTGCAGTAATCCACACCTGAAAGCAGAAAGCTGAGCTTGACAGCAACTCACTAACCTACATTTGTTTGAAACAAATTGTCTCTTGCTCATCGTTAATACTTTGTACAAGAAGTAATTTTTCACAAGGCCAGAGAGCCAACCATTGAAACAATCACGTTAAGAAAAACCTGTACAGAGAACTGTTACTCCAAGCAAATCTTTGATCTCTGGAGTGTTCCCAGCAATTTGTTTTCTAGAGCAGAATCTAAGAGATTGAACCAAACAAAACCACAGAAGAGGAAACGCAGATTCAAGTGACAATATAATCATGAGTTACAGAAATGTATTACTCCCCAACAGGGACCATGATCACGAATTCCCACACATGAGCTACATAACCCCAGGCATAAAACAAATACCACACTGTTTATGAAGTGAATCCCTGCTGCTACAGAGAATCTTCCTAGGTGCAGATACAGTTCAGACTACTCTGCCTGAGTACTCTGAGCTCACATCACCTGCCTTTTCTTCTACACAGCACATATGCCACATCAATTTGTTTTTAAACACTACTCTAGCTTCTTAGTTTTCCATTTTACTACACAATATAGTAGTGTTATTTCAAGACTACCCAAGATAAAGCCGTGGCTTAGTCTTGGCCCACCTATCACTCAGCAGCAGGACAAAGGATAGATCTGAAAAGATGTCAGAAAACAAATGCTTTGTATCTGAAAAGTTGCTCTTTGCCTTGGACAGGTAGAAACGTCCTTTGATTCTTCACTGAATCAAGCAACAACCATATACATCTCAGTTTTAACTTTCAATTAAAGTGGCAGGGGAGCATATTCAGCCTCTTACCAACCACGCATGTCTCTCCTGGTGAACTGTGTTAATCAGAAAGCTACTTAGAAATTCAGTAGCAATCTTTCCTTGAAATTTTACCTGATATACTGCCCATGAGCTTTCTAAACCTTGTAAGAGTCTCTCAGATAGCTAAATTCAAACTATCCATGATAAAATTATCCCACAAATTGATTTGACTACCTATTTCTATACATTTCTTTTTTAAAGCTTTAAAAGCAGAGTATAATGGTCTGTAGGCCACAAACCAGAGGAAACCAAAATATTAAAAGCTTTTGGTTGCAGCCTGTCCTTGAAAAGTCCGTTCCCTGTGTGATGCCCAGAATGATAGTAACATAAAAAAATTGCTTATCAAATTACACTTTGTATTGAGATAATAATAGCAGCTAATATTAATATCTGAACTGCAAATTTGGCAGCGACTTGAAACATCAACGAGGAGAACGGGAGAGCAATCTGAATGCTGTTCATCAGCACTGGAGTGCAGAGGACCTAGTCAGAAGGAAAGAACAGCTCACTCTCCTTTTCCACTCAGACAACCCGCTGCCAAAAAGGTTTCATTGTTATTCCATCAGAATAGAGAAATCAGGGAGTCACATGGCAATTAGAAGGGTAAGAGCTCAAGTCTTTTTTAACTTCACAGTATGATTAAAACACTCCAATACACATGGCAGGAAATTCTAGGCTACATGGGCTGCATTATGAAGATATGCTCAGTATTCATCCCTACAAACAAAAGTTGGCGTTTCCCATCCCATTATGAGGGTTTAGCACTGTACACAGTGCAGTTCAATAGGGAAGAACCTCTCCTTGTGCTCCCGATGTTCTTTTGCTACTCCAGAACTTGACAGGGATTTCACAAAAGCTACAAAAAAATGGCGCAAGCAAGCTGAGGAGGACTGGACCACTGACAGCATCTATCACCATCATATAACAATTTTAACAAATACTACGATTTTACAAAAAATTGGGGAAACACAGAAGAGATTCCCCCAGCAGTGGGCTTCCAGTAACTGCCCTTGCATGCTCTTACATTGCTGATATATTCCAGAGGAGTCAGGCTGAAGTTTGGCAGGTCATCTGTCAGGGTCTCACCAATGCCACCAGAGTTCCAACCCTGTTAAGGCAAAAAGCGCAGAATGAATCTATGAATTTTTGGAGCATGAAGTCTGTTGGTATTCTAGGAAGGGGTCACCCAGCAACACGAACTGTGACTACCCAAGGACTTCCAGAAAGCAGAAGACAGATGGTGAGAAA